GCGTGAGTCCCTGAGTTAAAGCCTCAGAGACCAAACAGACCTTTACGTCCACAGCTGGTCAGCTCTTTTAGAGAGTCTGGACCAGCAGTGTTTGGTCCAGAATCGAGTTGTAGGAGACCATGTCCTTCATCTTGTTCAGATGTTTAAGGTCAGGTTGCCCAGGTGTTGCCTTGTCTCACAAGAGCTACTGAGGAGCAGCTGTGTCCTCAGCAGGGGGCGCTGTTGATCTTCTTTCCGTGCAGCTGCAACTCTTCCTCCCTCAGTGCAGCCCGCTTGCCTCCTCTTCTTTCTTCTAGAAACTGTTGAAGTTTCTTAAATGCTCCTTAACTGCGTCCTCTTGTGTGTTGGGCCGTGGACTTAAATGTGGTCTGCATTTTGTCTCTGGTGAAGCTGAAACACAAAAAAATCAGAGTCAGAAGGTGGACTCTGAATCATAATGTCTTCTTTTATAGTCGCCTGTAGTGATGAAGACTACAAACTTTTTACTGGTTGTTTCAGGTGAGTCAGTGTTGAAGGGTGGCAGGCCTGTCAGATGGGCCTCTGCTGAATATGCTGTTGTCTTCAGGGGAGGAAACAAAACCACTGCATACAAGAAACATTTATAAAACATAGATAAAAAGAGCCCAACTAACGGTCACAAATACAGGTATCAAAAACAGGAAATATCCAAGGACATTATGAGAAAAAAAGAAAGTTAGAGAGGGTTAGGCTTATACATTGCTTTGTGATCAGTAAGTTCTAACCAAAACTACAATAACAGCTGCTGTGCAAAATAGATAAAACTCTTCATAAATTACTTTTTGCCTGTTGACGACCATATAATTTGCTTCCATGTAGGGATGAGGGTGGGAAGAAGAAAATGTGCTGGGATGTCGAGGTTGGAGACAGTACAGACTGGGAACTGGGTGTGTTAGCAGAGTCTGTCCAGAGAAAGGGAGACATAAGAGGATTATGGAGAATAAAGTTATTTGGAGGTGATTACGTTGCACAATCACCACCCTCTGAAACCACTGATCTCGTAGTTCAGAAGAAGCTCCAGAGGATCAGAGTGAATCTGGACTGGAACAGAGGAAAGCTGTCGTTCTCTGATCCTGATACTAACACACACATACACACCTTCACTGAGAGGATGTTTCCATATATTTGGACTGTGGATAAAGTCCCATTGAAGATATTACCAGTGAAGGTCAGTGCAGCAGTGAAACAGAGCAGTTAGAGATAAAGACAATGATTATGAATTGAAGCTGTTAAACTGAACCTGCTGTTTGTTATTGATTCGTTACATCCCTCTGGTTAACACAAGCTTAAGAGATTTTCACGTTTTGTTCTATGACAAAAAATACGTAAGCAAATACCTCACTTCTGAATGTTGACAGAGACTTATCTACTCAGTAGTCTGCCTTTACAACTTTGTTGTGTTTATACTCGTCAATGATTGGACACTAATTGTCTTTCAGAGAGTCCATTTGATGATAATACTAAGTTAGAGAGGACAGGGCAGATACAGGACAAAGACCATATCTATAGCATATCTACAGGAAAGGAGGATGTTGACAAAGGCTTTATTATTGGCGCACAGAGCAAAAAAGGGCGAGGTTTAGGAATTCTTTCATCCCTTTCATCTTAACATCATTTCCCTAATAGCCAAAACAATTTTACCCAACTTTCCGAATTTTCAAATCCGAAATCTGACCAATTTCTTATCCTTGATTTTACTCAAAAGCAGATCATATTGAATCAGTCAATTGAGTCTCTAAATTAGTTCCCCACTGTAGCCTTGAAAGGCTCCTGGGCACAAGACTTCTCAGATGACTAGTGGAGTGACTACATGTGGTGGATTCCTCATCCATGTGGTTATCAGACACTACTGCAGTGCAAGATGCTTCACAAAGCACATTCACCAGCGCTAAATATTTAATATCAGGATATTTTCTGATAAAAGCGACACCTGTAACAAATCTCCAGCTTACCATTTACATATGTGGTGGATATTCCCACAGCTGACAGACTTTTGGTCCTGAATATCTTGGTTGTTCTACTACAAACGATTTATATCTTCTATATGTTTAATCAAACTGCCAATAAAGACCTTTATTTAAAAAAATGTTACTGTGCCAACTTTGATAATGGTAAACATTTACATTTCAAGTGGACATGTTTGATGACTGTTAATGTCTCCTTCTATATTTGAATAAAGGCACTTATGCAACATTGTGACATGTTGCATATTTCCTGTTTGGGGTCTTAATATACGCTGTGGGAATTTGCCCTTTGTGGTCTGGTCTTAGTAAGTACACTTTTCATTGTGGTCCAGATCTTGGTTCATGTTCTCTGTGTTGAAATGACAAAGCATTTTAGCAACATCTAAAGCTTCTCTGGTTGAATAATGTCACTTTTGTGTTTTGCTTTTTTCTTAAAAAAATTGCATTTTGGTGTACAGCTTTAATAAAAAATCACATTTTCCTGTGGCCTGGTTTTATTTTAGCAGTACTCGTAACGCACGGCATGTGCACGTGTCTGTGTGCGTAGGATACTGTGAGATCATGGAAACTGCTGTTAATTATGCGAGCTCATCACATGATCATAGGACCTTTTTCTGTTTTTCTTTATTCATTTTTTGTTTTATTTATTTATTCTAAGTTTTATCCCTCATTTATCTCATATTCTGTTATTTGTTATTAGATTTACATGTTACTTTATTTGTAATGGTTTAAGTTGTTGTGTCACCTTTCTTAAGGAAACAACAAAAAGTATGATTGAAAAAACAAGTACTCATACCTTGGGGTTACTAGTGCACCAGAAGTATGTGGAAAGATTGTTGTTATTTAGAAAGAAAAATAAATTATGACTTCACTTTAAAAATACATATACATATTTGTTAATAAAAGCACAAAAACTGATGTTGATCTTTTGTTTTTTTAATAGAACAGAAAGATTGAAGTACATAAACCCCTCACTACAAAGATAAATGAACTTTTGAGAGTCATCCTTCCTCACATTCCTGACAAGTTGGCAAGTGCATGTGTGGCGTACACCCACAGAACAGTACAGGCCTGCTCGACCCCTCCAGGATGGTGGTGTTGATCCCTCCAGTTTATGTCTTTAAGTCGGTCATCAATCTGTAAGTGTGAGCTGACTTTTGTTTTTACATGGCCTGAAGAACAACCCATTCACACATTGGCAATAAAAAGTGATTAACTACATTTTGCAATAGCTTGCTGGTAGTTCAACTACATTTATATTTCATATAAAATCACATTTTTTTTAAATGAAACAATCACATTTTTCTTTATAAAATTAAACTGTAAATCAAGTCATATTTCTTTTTATCTGTAAAAGGGGAACTGATGCATTGATACAGAAACTGCTTTGAGTGCTGAGGAAGCTAAACAAGCAAAGTCAAAAGTACACAGTCAAACAAATAAAAACTGAATGAACAACAATATAAAGTGACACAATGTCAAAAAAAAAAACAATAAACAAGTCACATTGGAGGAAACCACCCCTGCATGAATTTGTTACAACACTACCCAATAGTAATAGTTCCTCAATAGCAACTTCTTTTATGAATTCATATGTGCAGCCGCAGTGACTTTCTCTGTGGTGAAATATCATCATGAATCAAATGGCTGGGTTGGGCTAGAAATCTTATATAGTATATGCATAATAATTAACAGGGAGGGCTCATTATATTTCAGACTTCTCCAAAGTCTTTTTGATCCATTTGAGTTGTTTTTGTGAGAGAAAAGAGTACACTCCTGGCCTTTTAATCTGGCCACACTTCCGTCCAAAAGAAGTAACTCCAACTAGCTCTCCATTGCATAACAGTGGTCCTCCTGAATCCCCCTAGAGAGACAATATATATGTGACACGTTATTTGTAGGCACAGGTAGTCAAGTAGTCCTTTTAGATTACATCATCCTTCATATAAGAATCAATATCTTTTTATTTTTATATCAAAATCCAATTCTCCTGAAAAACAAAATGTGACGCATGCTTACATAAGCGTTATAAACTTTATTGCTCGTAGAAAACCACAACTATCTTTATCAATTGTACAAAAACACTAACACACTTATTTTCTCACTGGAACAAAATCACAACTTTATCACCGTACATTTAACAACCTTAGAGACGAACAGAGGATAGTTTGACGTCCGAGGTGAACTTTCCTGATGGACTTGCTAAAAGCAGAAACCTAATATTAGCTGCCGTTAGCTAGTTAGTTTGTGCAGCTAGAATTAGCCAACTGAGTCCCAGAAGCCAAAACTGTCTCTGCTTCCTGTCTGTGTGGTGATACTTTAAGGTGGTACTTACCTCACAGGTATCAGCCTGGTTTTTACCATCTGAACCAGCACATATCATGCCACTGGTGATAACAGGGTTAAGGCCGTAATATTCACCAGAGTTGCACTGCACTCTGTCAATCACAGTCACATTGACAGACCTCAGCACATCAGACATTTTCTGGCCAACATTGTTCGTTTTCCCCCATCCAGCCACCAGACAGCTGGTGCCAGCTGCTGGGTCTCTGACGGTTTTACCCAACTGGAGACATTTCACTGTCTTGGTCTGTGACACCGCTTTGTCAAGCTGAAATGTAAAAAAGGAAAATCACTTATTGATGCTGACTGCCTGCCTTTGTAGGGTTTGTTAATTCCCAGTGTGCTCAGTTAGTTGCAATCAGAATCTTCACCACTAGATGCCACTAAATCCTACACACTGGTCCTTTGACATGTTAAAGAATATTTAATATTCCTTACTGAAGTTATTTGTTTAAGAAAGAGCCCTTCTGAATACATTTGCACAATAGAACTGCTATATCAGTCTCCACTACTGGTTACTACAATGTCACCTTACAATAACAATAACGTTATTAGCAATAACACCACCGTCATATCAGCAGTACTGTTACCACCGTCTTGCAACTACAACTTCTTTGCACCTTACCTACCTATTTATCGTTTATCTTTTTACCTAAGTATTTTATTTTCTTGTTGTATTTTATTTAGTGCTGTCAGTTAAAACGTGTTATTAACGGCGTTAGCGCAAACCCATTTTAACAGCGTCAATTTTTTTATCGCGTGATTAACGCGATAAGTGTTGTGTACGTGGCCTACACCTTTGTATTTTTTTTCCATGCTGTTGCAACAACTAGTTAAGTTGAGAAAAACTACAACCACACCGGATCTAGCTAGACCCAGAAACAAACAACAGGCCTGCCGACACAACTTGTTTAGAGTAGTAGACGTCGTTTTGGTGGTAGCGAGCGCAAGACGCCGAAATGAATTGCCAATAATATTCTGAACGGAAAGTTTACTTTTTAAAAAGTTACAAATGGTTCATTGGACAAGCCAAGGATCTGTGTGGTTTTAGGTCATTGTGACTGAGTTATCATCGCAGCACGTCAGGTCAGATTTGACAGCTGATGCGATTCTCCGCCCTCGTCAAGCAAGGCGCTCTCAAAGTATTTTTTTTCACGCCTTTTATTGATAGGACAGTGTTACATTGTGTGAGAGATTTTTTGCTCCAAGTGAGAATGTTAGTGTGAAATTGAAATTGAACACTACAGTATATACAGTATTTTCAATAAAAACAACATTTGCACAAAGCAAGCCGATCCACTTTTCCATGTTGATAAAGCATTAAAAATGAGGAAAAAATAATGGGACAAAGAAGAAATCAAGGGACATTTAGATAGATAAAAATGCCTTAATTGCGATTAATTTACTACTTGGAATTATTATACTTCATTTCTTGCCAACTAGTGCTCTTAAATGTTACACTTTAAGTGACCTTTAAGACATGCTTGAGTAAGTGAAATGCTTTTTAATACCTGTAGATACCTTCAGAAAATGACATTGATATTGTGCAATCTAAAAAGGCACCACTACTTAATATGCCTACCTCATCAACACAGCAACAGATGGAGAACACTTCATGTTGCCTGAACACAAATCTGACAAGTTTTACATGCAAATAAGAGTCCAGACAGTCAATCTTACAGAATAGATTTGATAAACAACAAGGATTTGGCTCCAGAATGAACATCTGAACATAGCATATCCCATATATCTCGCTGCTGTCCTCTTATTCAATCTCTCAATCCTTTGATCCATTCATTCAGATTTTCCACAGAGCAGTTTCTCACTCTTTCTTCCACCAGCTGTTGTTGTTCTGAGATCTTGAAGGTTGAATTCAGCCAGAGAAATATACATCATATACATAACCTTTTGTGCTTTAGCACAATCTCAATCTCATTTGCAGAAAATGCATCACCAAGCACACTTAACTTTAATATCCGTCTCTGCTACTGAAATAGCCCGGCTCTGCCAAAACACACATGCTCAATAGACTCTGTATGGAAGCTAAATATTCCACATTCCCAATGAGGTATTCCCCCGGCTGCTGGTGCTGGAGGTGATTTATGGACAGGAACACTAAATGGGAAAGAGGCTGGACTGAGTAGATCCTTTTTTAACACACACACACACAC